AATAATTTATGTGATTTTTGTATAATAAAAAGACATAACAATTAAAAAATTAAAGAAAAAAAATATAAAGTTTCCAAACGAAAATTTCTTTTTCTAGAGAGTGAAGAAACATTCGGTGGCTTCGGGGCTGTTTCGGTTTCGGCCCCACTGCTCTTCCCGGTTAAATTTGTACGTTTGGCGATTTCGATTTTTTTGTTTTTAAATAGCAAAATGACGGAAAAAGGAAAGTGTTGATTGGCCGTTGCTTTCTTTGCGTTACAGTCAATGCAGAATTCGGATCATTGTTTCCAATTAAATAAATTCATCATTTTGTATTTCCGGCCCACAGAATTATACCGAGTTACCGACTAAAATAAGCTTTGAATCCTTAAGTTCTAGAATTTGCGGGTATTTAGATTAATGGTTTAGATAAGGTCGATAATTGGTAATTAATATTATTTAATAATTAATAATTTTTATTATTTAATATAATTTAATGTATCTAAATTACAAGAATATAAAAATTAAGATATTTTGAAATTTAAGATATACATCATAACCATGTATAAGTAAATTATATTTTTATAATTCACTCAACAAATGATTACGATGGACCTTTTAAACATGAAAACTTCTTGATTTTTTGAGTTTTTTTCTAAACTAATAACTTAAAGTAATTTTCAAAATAGTAATCTAAGTACTACCAATTTAGTTATGCCGAAAAATAAATTTTAATAATATTATGTTAAATTTATTAATAAATAAATATTTTTATAATTGAGATTTTAATTGATAGGGTATGCAAATTAATGAAGAATAAAACTCAAGTATCCTTCACAGACTTCTAAGGCAAATTAATAAATGCAACAATAAGCGTTGACATTTGGCTTTGGTTGAGAATGCAGCAAAGGGATCCGATCTGACTTAATATTTTTAAGCCTTGAGGCTGCCTTCGTTTTAATTAGGGATTTGATTAAATTAATCTGTTTCTTTGTGTGTTTAATTAAGGTGATAATATGTGGAATACGAATAAAGCAAACAGAAAAGCATGCAATCAGGTGTTCAGCATCGGCAGAGATGTCCAGCCTGTTCATCAAATTTGTGGTGCTTTCATATTACGCACCAAATAACGAAAGCATTCTCCACATGCATACACACATTTGCTTATTGCAGCAAATATTTTTTTTCATAAGTAAAAGAAAGACTTTAGGTTGTTAGTAAACGAGTTTGTTTTTTATTTTATTTAACGATTTGAATTGATTTATAAGAGAATGATTCAAATTTTTTTTGCTAATTTCAACATGATTAATTTAATTCGATACACTCATAAACTTGTTTTAAAAAGTATGATTAGAATGCTAGCAAGAAAATAAAAGAAAGTAAATTGGCGTAAAATTCCTATTTTCGACATAAGACTTTTCATAATTTTCCTTGCATTCTTGCACACATTTAGTTGTTGAGCTCATAAATCCAGTGGATTCCTTTTAGGCATGATTTTGCACCATCACCTATTTTTAAGTCTTTCAAAGATGGATTACCTTATTGTGTTTTGACTGAAAATACTTAAAGAATTCTTTTAGATGAAGCAGCTTTAAATCATGCGAGATGATGTAACAAATCAACCACCTGTATCAAGAACATTCAAGTTTATATTAAAATTAAACAACTTTGGTAATTTCAATTACAATTTAAAGAGGTTTGTAAACTGATAATATTATAATTATATATAAATTTGTAATCACACATGTGATTGGAATTATATATCATTTTCAGTTGAAAACAAGAATAATAATAAGGAATAAAAACATTTGGACCTTCGGTCCAGTGAGATCAAGTCACGTATAAGTACATTTTCTCATTCTTAGGGCAACGATTAAAATTCGGTCACTTGCTTCAAAAAAAAAAAAAAGAATAAAACAAACTAGTTATTACTTTGAATTAAAATAATTTAATTTGTTTTAGTAAAATTTTAAATTTGATTCTTATGAATAAAAAAACAAATGTTAAAACTCTTTCGTACGTCTAACATGATTCTAATCTAAATTAATTCAGATTGAATTCGAGATCTAAATAGTTGGATTAATAATAATAATAATAATAAACAATGGATTTCGACCCATTAAATAAACTAAGGCTCGAGTTTATAAGAGCTCACTGTTGGGCCTGCAGAACTCATCCTGAAGTGCAGTCCAGTAACAAAAGAGACCTCAATTTTATTAAGCGACGTCGTATGGCTCGAAACAACAAGACCCTCTCTCTGCCTACAAAACCCTAGAGCCACCATCTCAGAAACCAGCTAGACCCATCTTCCTTCGTCGCCGACAAGACCGATGGCGATCGAAAAAACTGAATCGAATACGGAAAATGCGAGGAAGCTCCGATGGGGCGAGCTGGAGGATGAGGACGAGGAGAATCTGGACTTCCTGCTCCCGCCCAGACAGGTAATCGGGCCAGACGAAAAGGGAATCAAGAAGGTAATAGAGTACAAGTTCAACGATGCGGGACATAAGGTCAAAGTAACCACCACAACGCGGGTTCGAAAGCTTGCCAATGCCCGGCTGAGTAAACAGGCTCTGGAGAGGAGGAATTGGGCCAAGTTCGGTGATGCTGTGCATGAGGATGTCGGTAGCAGGCTCACCATGGTCTCCACTGAGGAGATTCTTCTTGAACGACCTAGAGCTCCTGGTTCGTCTCTCATATCCCTCTCTATATTCTTCATATATTAGATTTTTCTGTCGAAGATTTAATTTTGAGGGTGGGGTTTTCTGGGTTTATGAATTTATGTTGTGTTTGTTCATTAGAGGTTGACTGCTTTATGAAGTTATGGTGGTCAATTAGCCAGTCACACGTTAGCCATATGGCTGTTTTTAATTATGTGAATGGTCAGTAAGCCACCTACAGCAGCACTGTGTTTATGGTCTTCAATGGTGAAAGAAGAAATTCTTCTTTCGCGTCTTGGCTGTAAACTACATCTACCTGAAAAAGAATTTAATATGGCCTAAAATTGCATGCATTATGTTGTTTTTTGAGGATTGGAAACCGTGAAAGAAATGCTAATTTGAATTGATTTCTGACTTAGAAAGCCAGCAAAAGTGGCCTCTGAAAAGGTTACCGATTTCCTTTCTAGGCTTATGCAAGCTGACTGTGTGTCTGTTGGCAAAAGTTTATGTCGACTATTTAGTAAATTTTTAAGGTTCTATAAATTTCATTAGGGCACTTGTTTCATTTAGTTATGGTGGTCAATTAGCCAATCACATATTTGCCTTGTGTGAATGGTCAGTAAACCACCAAGAGTGACCCTGTGTTAGTGGCCTTCAACTGTGAAATAGAATATGATACTCTTTTCATACTTAGGCCATCTACTACATTCATAAAGCTGTACTTCTATGCACTATCTCTTTGTCGGTTGCAATCTACGTGTTCAGTGTATTCCTCAAATTGTACTTTTTTTAATGTTGTCTTCAATGGAAGTACTTGTGTTTGTTTCATTCAATTTCAATCACGGTGGCCAATTTTGCCAGTCACATATTTAGGTTCCTTGATGATGTGATTGGTAAGTAGGCCACTCTAATTGCATCTCTTTGCTGGTGGCATACATAGTGTATTCCTCTAATTGTACTTTTTGTAATGTTGTCTTCAACAGAAGCACTTGTGTTTGTTTCATTCAACTTCAATCATGGTTGCCAACTTTGCCAATCACATATTTTAGGTTCCTTGGTGATGTGATTGGTAAGTAGGCCACTTTAATTGCATCTCTTTGTTGGTGGCCTAGATAGTGAAGACTAGAATGCCTGTTTTGCCTTGAGGCCATTAACAGCATTCATGTGCATTTTTTCTAATTTCTATTATAGTTGCAGTTCTACATCTTTCAAGTTCTTGTCTGGCTCAGTTTGTTTAGTGTCAATTTTTACATAATGGAGTTGTGTGCAGGTACCAAAGCAGAAGAAACAAAGGTGGCAGGAGACAGCTTGGCTCAGCTTAGTAAAGGAGGTGCTGTTCTTATGGTATGCAGGACATGTGGTAAGAAAGGGGATCACTGGACTTCTAAATGCCCATACAAGGATCTTGCCCCCCAAACTGAAACCTTTACTGATAAACCTCCTGTATCTGAGACCTCTGTGGGTACATCGGGAGCCACAAAGGGAGCTTATGTGCCACCAAGCATGAGAGCTGGAGCAGAGAAAACTGCTGGATCAGATATGAGGCGGAGGAATGATGAGAACTCAGTTAGGGTAACAAATCTATCGGAGGATACCCGGGAGCCTGACTTGCTTGACCTTTTCCGCACATTTGGCCCTGTGAGTCGCGTCTATGTTGCTATGGACCAGAAGACAGGTACAAGCAGAGGTTTTGGTTTTGTCAACTTTGTACACAGGGAGGATGCCCAACGTGCTATCAATAAGCTCAACGGCTATGGTTACGACAATCTCATCCTTCGGGTTGAGTGGGCCACGCCAAGATCAAACTAGAACATTAATTTTCCTGATAGTTCGGAGCTGGTGATTCATTTTGACTCTGTTTTCTCTTGATATTCCTTTTTTCATTTTTATATATGAAGACATTTCTAGCTTTGTGTTTTTGTTGTTATTTTTCATCATTAAAGCAAACAATTGACTCAAAAGTGAGCTTCTTATTATCAAGTTATAAACAAAACAAGCTCCTAAGCATCATGTCAATCGTGCGAAACAAAGCTCAGGCCATCTTTTCTCAGTAAACTTGTTTTCGACCTTTTGTGGTGCCATTCGCATGATATACTAAACTTCCTTGGTAATTTTTCTTTAAAGAAGACGTTTTGTCTTTGTTCCACATGTAAGTTAATAAAGGTGTTCCCAAACCATCCTCCTCAAGATTTAAAATGAAATTCTGACCTCCATGCTTCAACCTCTTACCGGTTAAGACATCCAGGGTCACACCACTATGATCATGTATCAAATAGGAAATAACACTTCAATAAACTCGAAAGACAGGGAGAGAATATCAATACATGAAGAATCTATCAAAGCAGCTAATTCCATCTTGTAATTTTGGGTTGTATAATGATAAAAGAAAAATAACACACAAAGGACCTAATGGAAGCAACAGTAGGCCCCAATAATGGTGAAGCCTCCCCTCTCAACCATGGAAAGAATGAGAGCATTACAAATATGTGTGGGAGTGATGCTACTGTATTTACATACTGCGTAGAATGATCCAGAAACTGCTAACCTAACAAAACTGTTCCAGAGGCCTGTAAAAAGGCGGGCACTCAAGTGGAAGACTCAGCCAGGAGCAGTGTATGCCACCATCCGCAAGCAATGTTTTTAGGACTGAAACCTTCTACGGTAACTTGAGAAGGAATGTTGCGATCAATCACATCACCCAGGCCAAGCTGTTTCATGAATCAAGAAGAGTAAGTTTTATGAGAAACTGAGGTGTATCCAGACACCATCGTATTAGAAGAAGGAAAATTTTTCTTCTCAAAACCAGTTACATTTTTTATGATCACAGAAGCGTTATTAGTCAATAAAATCTGTTAAGTATGAATTCAATGATATGAAATCCATGGATACATCATCAGAGATTAGGGTGAGCGCGGTACCTGGCCATACTTGTTCCATCCCCAGCAGAATACTTTTCCATCCTCTTCAAGCAAGAGAATCACAAGGTAAGTTAAAATGCATATCTATTTCTCTAAAAATAAATCTATACATATTAAATCCACATGGAAAAAATTTAGTAGGAGATAGCTCTCCTTAATCAGTAGGTCTTGAATTGTATATATTATATTGCAGCATCATAGCTTTTACCTTAATGTTTCAGATAGGGCCTTACAAGCACTCTATGAACTCAAGCACCAGAAGTGAAAGACTTGAACTCTCTTAAAAAATGCATGAACAGCATACCTGTGATTATAGCACTGTGACGAGCTCCACATGTGATAACTTTTGCATGTGTGTTTTCCAAGCTTGGAGCTTCTAGCAGCCTCGGGAGAGTCTGATTTAGAAATTCAATAAAATGCTTTTAGAAGAATAAACTTCCTGCCAATCAAAAAATCCACATAAAAGTTGTGGGGGGAGGAAGTTGTCCCTAGTTCTAGAAAATACAAACTTGCAATGATAAATATGCTAGGATTTCAGCTTTATATTTATAGTTCTAGGTCCCCCCCCCCCCCCAAAAAATTTTTTTTTTTTTATATATACACACACACACACACAGAGTTCTAGACTGCTGGCTATCCACATTCAGTGTCATTTGGCACAAGAATTGAATCCAATTTTTGTACTAGAATGTCATTATCTCTAGGTAAAAGAAACGACTTAGGATGTACTAAAAGTAAGTAAGCCTCCTGTATTTCAGGAAAAAGGGGATTTCATATAAGGAATATTCAATGCATACCTCAGCTTGATCACTACCAGTTCCCAACTGTCCAAACTGATTTCCACCAAATGCATAAACATCTCCATCAGCTGATATGCAAACTGTATGCCACAGTCCAGCAGCCACTCCCTCAATCCTGATGCCCAATAAGGAAGATACACAAGCCGGACTTAATTCATCGTCCGTGGTTCCCAGTCCACACTTGAAAACATAATATGAAAAAGGAAAACTATTTTACTCACAGATCATGATAAATTAAACAGTCTACTTAATGAAATAGAAGGGGGACAGATGCTTAAAAAAGAACAGAGTATTTATCCCTTTTACAGTGAATCTCATCTTCAACTCTACTGTCTTTTATCTCCACCAAATTCTACTTTACCTACATATTAATCCTGAAGAACAGTTAAGTTATGAAATTCCATTATAAAGGATGATATAATTAGAATTAGTAGAAGATATGTCCTAACTTAGATACTCCACAACAATAGAATAATTTAAAGAAACATCCCTCAAAGCAGTCAAATGCAAAGAAGGATGAATGTGGATCAGAATGAATTAGAGTTCTACAGGACTTTGAGAATGACTCTTAAACTCGTAAAGCTCCTCAGAGAAGCTAAATTGAGGGAGAGCAGACATACAAAGGTGAGTATCATATATGTATTTAATGAGGTACAAAAATAAGAATAAAAACTCCCCAGGGCCCAGTCTGAACACTACTCTGATCAAACTCTAAAGAGGAAGAAGCCCTTTTATCATGCAAATTGATAATAGTTTTTCATTCCTTGTGTTGATGCATTGAGGTGTACAGAGCTTCTCTAAAAAACTCATGTTCAATGGAGCAGCAAAACTCAAGAAATAATGGCCGTAGGAGGCCCCAAAAAAAACAAGGGAGAATGATGCTCTTGTCCATGAATATTATTATCACAAGAGCATAACAACAAAATTATGCAAAAATGTAATGGTAACCAGTCGCATATTATTATAATTAAAAAGGCTTACTGGATTGATTCCCTTAGACAATTCTACCACTACAACAGCTTGTAGAAGACAGAACTACAAACAAGTATTCAATCAGTGAAAACTTGCACAATCACAATTAGAAAAAATAACTACAAGTGACAACCTATTTATTGAGAGACTCTCAATTAGGGAATATCTCAGACTTCATATGATAGCTAAAGCAAGGAGAGCTGTTCTCTGGCAGATTTCTATTCCTCACTTCAACAATGTTCAAAAACCCAGCCATCATATGCATTAATTTTAATTGTTTCAAAAGTATAAAACCAAGAAAATAGAAAGAACACAGGTAAGCATTCAATATGCCATTAAGTTTATGGTTATGGTAACTAACCTGTCCATAGAGACCCCAACCAAAAGTAACAAGTGCTCCAGCATCTGTTAAAGGCAGAAAATTCTGTATTAGACAATAATGACTGTAGAGAAGATTTAAACTAGCATACCAGATATCAGACTAGTGGAACATATTGTGCTGGACAACAATTTACATCAGGCCTAACTAATGAAGAGTGAAGACTCAATCTATATCATTGATCCTGTGTCTGGAGGATACAGAAAGCTGAATATTACATGTCAAATGGGGCAATGATCTTAGCCAGGTTACTATGTTTCTGCAATCATTGTAAAACTTGTTGAGCAGATTGTATTCATGCCTTCTCTTCATTTGTACAAACTATGCTTATTTATTGAAACCCTTATCTCTTTTGATTTCGCATGGATTCATAACAAAATTTCTCAAACATTCAATTTTTGCAACATCAAAGAATGTTCAAAAGCTTTCTTAATTTACATGACAGTTTAATTAGATAAAGAAGTAGGACACCAGCGGCCGGCATACCTGTGATTACAGCACTATGCCGCCCACCGCAAGCAATCCCCCTCACATAACTTCCAGGAATTCTAAGACCCTGCCCCTCTGAACTCATGCTTCCTCGAGAAAGTGCTGCAGATCTATCTTTCCCAAAAGAGGAGTGCTCAATGCAAGGCACCGGATGAGGAGATGACACCATACGTATCCTCGAGCCAAGACCAAGTTGCCCTTCACCTCCATAACCCCAACCCCACACCTGTCCAATATCTGAAACCTTGGTAAAATTAGGATACATCAGAAATCTTGCTTTGCATAAAAGTAATATCTACAACTCCAATTACCATATTGCCTGTTGCAGCAATATATGTCCAAGACTACATTTCCAGGTAAAACAGGCAACTTTTGACTCATGATAGAGCATTAATCTAGAGTTTTGAGAAATTGCCTGACAATGCCAGAGTATGTCGTCCACCTGCAGCTACAGACACAATTCTAACCCCTGGAAGAGTTACTAGACATGGCAATGCAGAAAGAGTCTCTTCACCAGACGATGAGCCTTCAGCTGTTTGCTTGGCTGATGTTATTCTCCTTCTTTTTGTACTTTCTTCCCCACTTCCTTTACTATCAATGCCGGGTAATGTTCCACCACTTGGTCTTGAGCCTTGAGAGCGAGGACTCACTTCATATATATTACACTTTGTAAAATGAGTTTGTCAACAAGTAAAAGATATTATATCTCTTATCTTAATGGAGCACCCAAACAATATTTACCTTGCTCTGTTGAAAAAGAACCCTGTCTTTCAAATGCATCCTTCTCTAAGCTTGCTCCAACAGAAGGATCTCCAAATACCTTCCCTGAGGGAATACACTCTTTCCATCCCCAAGTGTACACTTGACCACCATCTGTATAAATGAAAAACGAACTTAATTTGTGGATTCAGAAAGTCATTTTCTTAGGATAACAAGGAACCATCACAAATCATATTGGTAATTAAACAATCAGATTTCATGGTTTCCCTTCGTCACCTAAAACCAATTTGTTCCCTTTAAAAAAATTTAATAGGAGCTGCTCTCTCTGTAACGCTCTGCCGGTGCATGATGAGAGTTCTCTGCTATCGTACGCGGCATGGTGGTTTAGCTGGAAAGGCAGGAGATGGGTGGCAGTGGCCGACAGAAAAAGAAAGATCCCATTTATTGCTTCCTAAGAAAGTGTTAAAGTCAATTGATGCTGCTTTTAGGAATTTTATTTGGTGTGGTAAATGGAACTATAATGCTATGTCTCTTGTTGTGTGGGATGATATATGTGTGCCAAGGAATGAGAGGGTACTAGGGGTTAAGCAGTTGCAGCACTGGAATAAGGCTGCACTGGGAAGACTGATTTGGAACATATGCCAAAATAATGAGTCTCTATGGGTTAGATGGGTGAAAGGTGGTGCTTCCGAGGGGTGGAAATTTTTGGAGGTCCCAAATTCCAGTGGATTGTGCTTGGACATGGAGACAAGTATTAAAGTTCCGTCCTTTGTTGAAAAATGCTATTTGGATGCAAGTGGGTGACAGAAGACAGATTTCTTTATTCTATGACTGTTGGGCAGGTGAGGAAAGGTCCTGTGAATTGATCTCAAAGGCTGAAATTGCTGTTTGGGGCCATTCTCTTATGGTTAGCCAGTGGTGGGATGGGTTGGACTGGACTATTCCCAATGTTTCGTGAGAAGGCATCCCATGCTTGTCAGGATCATCAGGAGTAAAAAATTGTCCCAACAAGCTGACAAGGCTGTGTGGAAACTTGAAAGGAATGGCTTATTTACCATTTCAAGTTGCTATGAGTTTTTAAGAGTGAAACATCCAAAGGTTGAATGGCACAATATTGTTTGGGCAGGGTGTATTTTCCCTCGACATAGCTTAATTTTTTGGCTGGTGTTGCAGGGTAGACTAAAAACTAGAGTTGTGCTAGCTAATAGAGGACTGGGAATAGAGAAAGGGTGCTGCTTGTGCTGCAGATATGAGGAAACTTATGAGCACTTGTTTTTTTATTGTAGTTTTGCTAAGGAAGTGTGGAGGCTGGTTTTAGAATTTTAGAATGTCCAGC